AAGAAGAAAAACACGAATTTTCTGTACGGAAATGTGTACAGAGAAAAACCGGTTTTTCGCTGTTTTTTTCTAGTTCCCGGCCTAAAAAACTCGCTCAAAACCTCACAAAGAGCCTTGAAAAGAGGTTCTTTGTTGGTTTTGCGATGTGCTCTTTCATATGGACAGATCAACAAATTTTTTTTGGTGCAAATGATTTTTCGGCCTAAAAACTAAGATCTTTGAAAAACGGGGCTTTAAGGTGAAAGCGGGCAAAAACCATTATGATATTCGGAATCAGCATGTTCGATTACCCCTTGTCAACTAAGTTAAAGCTCAAAAGCGAGCGATCAGTCGGTGGCCTTCCCTCGTCAGTCAAAACTATTTGCTATAACATCCTTCTTGCGCAGTTTGAGTCACTCGTTCTGGTTAAAGAAATTAGAGCACCGCCAGAAAACACCTTTCTACTCCTGATGATACTGAGTTGTTAGTAGTGTATTCATGTCGATTATATTCATTGGTACAGACCAATTGATATAAGACTGTACAATGCCTGGCCGATTCACCGACGCTTAGTGCCCCAACATTTGACCGAGCTGACGCTTCGTACTTTCCAGTGTGACGTATTTACAATCAGTAAAATCTAATAGGTGAATTAGTGCTCGCTTTTGTTTGTTAGAAAGGTTCATTATCACACAATGGTACAAGACCTACTCCTGCAATGTTGGTATTCCATTTACTCTCAATATATAGGTCTCCTTTTGGGGAGCGAGACGTCTGAAAAAACACTTGATCGCTTAAATGTCACCTGGCGTGTCTAAATATGACTGATTTTAAAAAAATATTTGTAATATTGAGTGTAATATTTTTTAATGAGTGTATGGAATCAATATCAATGCAAACTACTTTAGAATACCAAAATACACTCGTGTATCTACATTATAGCACGGAGTTTAATTAATGTTTTAAAAATCAACAAAAAATACTTTGGTTTTATAAGAGGTTTTCTAGGAACCTTTGGAAGTAAGAGAATATGTTTTATTGATCTAAGGTACAAAATCAGGTCGAATAGATAAAATAGAGTAGATCTTCATATTCTGAAGTAGTTCCATTGAATCGATTTTGACATAGTTATGAATTTTTTAATTTTTGATACAAATATCCAAAAGTGGGTTATTTCACTTAATATAGGGTTTAACCAGGTCTTTACATTTTATTCTAAATACTAACATTGTAATGAGAATCAGCATAGTCGAAAATTTATGTTTGCATTTGTTTTTTCGATTTCCAGACCTAAGAATTGATCGAGAGGCATGTCTTCGTGGAACTGCTGACACGCCTGAACCGTGGTAGACAGAGACCTGAGGCTTTTTTAGAGCAGGATTCGGTTGTTGGAGCCCACCTATTGGAGTTCCAAATCCATTCATTTTTCGTGACACGAGAACTCATCATGGCATCTATTCATTCCACGACAAACACGCACACAAAACAAAACCAACAACCTAACTTATCTTAAACCCTGGACAAAATAAACCGACACTCCATATTAGAACGACATCGTAAAAAGTTTGATGTGTGGGGTGCATTAGAACGACATGCCGCTCTATTTCGTTCACTGGAACGTTTTTCCTTCTTCTTCTCTTTTTTTTCTCTTCCATTAGCATCACTACAATATATTAATCAAATATGACATAGGGTGAATGTGCCTAAATAGTTGTGAAACTCCCTCACTATCGTCGAAGAAGAGGGAGTAACTGTTTTATGCCCAAAATCCGCTGTTTTTATGGTAAATTTGATAAATAATCGACAGTCGCTTTTTTCGTAATTTTGCTCAGTTTTGAATACTTATATTTCTATCGCAGATAACACTGAAATGCCTTTTTGCAGTTCATTAAGGTTAAAAAGTTGGAATCCAGTGTATTGTAGAACCCAGTATTACCCAATATTATTGTACAATATTATTGAGTGACCAATATTATTAGTCCCAATAGACTGGGTATACAATAATATTAGGACTCAATTCTATTGGATAGCCAATAATATTGTTTAATATCTTCAATAATGATTGGTATTGGTGCATGCCTAGATCTGAAAAAGACTTTGCGCATCTGAGAAGACCCTTACTCGATCTGAAAACTTTCGCGCGATTGACAATAGTACCTTTACATGATCTTAAATTGTGTTTTACACGATCTTAAAGTGACCTTACACCATCTTAAATTTATGCACATCTTTTAGAGATATTGAATTGAGATTAGATGTGTATGTACACCATGTGAAGGATGTCTTTAAATGATTTTACAATGCTTTTACGCGATGTTATTTCGATCTTTGCTTGATATTCATAACCACAGGATATCTTAGTACAAATATTCAGCAACGGTTTATCCTATGTTATGCCAGGGAATCTGCTTGAGAGTTTAGCTGTGATACTGCCGGCCATGACTTAGACCGATTAGGTGAAGAATTCATATGCAAAGAGATAAAAACAATTTGGAATGTCCAAAATTAAAAATATAAAAGAACCAGTAAAAAGTAACTGTTTCTACGAAAAGTGTAAAATGAAAATAAGTATGGCATTAACAACAATATAAAAGGAATAATTATGAGTCCATAAATCGAAAAACCAAGCTTTAATTTCGACGACTTCGTCACATTAAGAGATTTCGCGACCCAAAAATATCTGAAAATCAGGTTTTTTCCGTGTCAAAACTGTAACTCTATCGTCCATGAAGATACTAAGGCCCAAAACAACTTTCTGTCGATAAAGTGTAGCACACAGGCGAAATATAAAAAGCCTATACTGGCGAATACCAAAAAGTCTTTAAAAAACTTTTCACTTTTACTGATATTAATTTTATTTCTAACAATTTAACCTATTGTTTTATTATATATCATGAATAAGAAAAATAAGAAGACTAAACAGGTTTTAATAGGGTTTAGTCCTTCTTTAAGATAAATACTCTACTCGCCTAATATAAATACACCTTGCTAAGAACAATATTTAAGCAAATTTATCTTAAAAACAGCAGGTTTGAGTATAAGACTGTTACTCCCTCTTCGAGGAATAAATAAATCCCAAACATAAATGTTTGGTTAGAAATAAAAAAAAATTCATCCATATTCTGTAACTTTCATTAGTATATTAAACTTTTACTTCAGTTTAGAACTATTTTTTTTGTTTTTAAGACTAGACGTCTCAGTAATGGGAGTTCCACCTTTTAGCACCTTTAGGTGCTACCCTGCTAAGGTTTTTTCTATAGTCGGATAGAGTAATCTCGCGCGCCGAATATAGAAGAACTGTTGAGTTTTGTTCAGAAATGGCGGAGTTATGACCGGAAGTTTGAACGTGAATCGAGTCGTTCGAATTATTTTCCTTACCAAATCGTGACAAGTTATTTAGAACTGACGAAAGTCGAAAAATTAACTGCTTTTTTCCTTTGGACAAATGAAAGCGATATCCCCAAATAGAGCGACACCCTCGAGAACTTGATTTGCTGAGACAAAATAGAACGACATGTTGTTCTTTTTTACCGCCGAGTTTAACCCAAATTTTCCAAGCAAATGAGATCCCGACTTAGTAACTACCTGCGTGCTTCCGATATTCTGGAGTTTCGTTGAATAAATATTGTTCCAGTGATTGGTTCACCGCTAACACAACAGTCAAAAAAATGTCTAACTCCAATTTTTGTTTACGTATTGGTTGGCTGAACATTTGGCTGTAGTCCCTTAAAAACAACCCAATTTTGTTTTAATTTTTCCTTAGATTACAAGTATCAAGGAGCAATTAAAGCTGATGATATCTTAGTGACAGCAAAAACAGTTGGCGACAATGTTTCTAATCCTGCTTGTGTACACTGTACGCCATCTGAAGGAGCACATAAAGAAAACTCAGTTTTAGCGAGATTCAAAATAGAGACTAGAATTGCGTCACTTGAGTCTGCAGGAGCTTTTTAATTGAGTATAATTTTTTTTGTTTAATTCAATCGAAAAGAAAATCTTATTTGTTTTCTTTCTATGTTTTGAGCAGTCTTTACTTTTTTTTGTCCTTATTCGTCATCATGCAACTCAAATGTGTGCCTTTGTTTGTTTATCTATTCATTATGTTGGATTTTTCGACAAACCTGTCAAATGTTGATCAAGATCATTATAACTATCATGACTCTCAACTGGACACCAGTGGAGGTGTTACGTGCTTTGCAGTGATTGTGTTTTTTGAAGAAATCTGATATAAATTGCTCATTCTAGCGGCTTTCTTCCCATCGTACCACCATCACCGGAAGATGCGAAGATGGAAGCAAACGATGCACTTGATCGTTTGATTAAACGTATTTATGAGAACTCATCGTCAGACGACACTGCTGTTCCATTTATATATGTTCTTTTCATCATGAGTAATCAAAATAGCGGTCCTTATATCGCAGAGGCACTAAGAATGTTAATATTAGATGCAAGAAATAATGTATTATCTTCAGCACTGATAAGCTTTTTAACAGATATTAGAGTCGTCATGATGGATATTACTTTTATGGACGCAGCACAAACACTAGAAATAGTAACTGAATGCAAAATAGTTGATTCTTATTGATCTTTCAGCAATAGCCGTCGATGCCATCATGTCTGCTCCAATGGATCAGTTTGACCAAAAAGCGATAGATCACATTCGGTCTGGTAATAATCATCCACTACTATTAGGAGATCAACAATCTCTCGCAGTAGGAAGTAATGTTTCATTATTTAAATGTATACATGAAAATAACTTTAACAAATATCAACTTCCATTATCGCCTTTACAAGTTGTTTTACCACAAGTGTTGATTCGGGAGCCATCAACGATTATCGCAAGCATTGATATACACCCTAACCATTTCGGAGGATATCCATTAGTTGCTGATGAAGATGTTTAATTAACCGTCCTTTCCGAGAGTGAATTTCATTTATAACTTATCGTATCTTTATGTTAAAAATAAAATATACAATTTATCACATTGAACATAGGCAACATAACACCTATCGTGACCTCTTATGTTTGAGTAGATATTCGTTACAATACTCAGTCAAACATTTTGTCAACTCTTGGATTTATTCAAACCGATCACTCCAAGTGCAACTGAATGTGCTTTGTTTATACGAAGCACAGACCAGTCAGATGAGGTTTTGAGAATGGGTGAGAGGATGGCCGTGAATTGATGATACATATCATGGCATCCAATTTCTTTCTGCAGTCTAATGCTAAAAAACTTGGCATATATGTTACAGGCCAAATTCAAATTTAGGCCAATTTTAAATTAGCCTAGGCTAAATTCAAATTTTAATTTGGCCTAGTCTAAATTAAAATCGAAATGCTTGCACATGCTGATTTGAATCTGGACT